GCCGCGAGTGTGCGCCCCGGAAATTTGCAAACTTTTATTTGACGAACGTGCTTGCGCGTGGAACATTTGGGGTGAAATGCTCGCTCTACGGTCTCGTTACGTGACAGGGTCCTCGAGGTGACGCATTTACTCGACGTCGCGTATTATTATACCCCGTATCTAGTCGAGGAGAAGAAAAATAACACCGTACCGCGAGATAATTAAAAAAATGGACGTCCATCCTTACTACAGCAACGCGTGAACTATTATTTAAACCGTTATCATACCCGCTTTTCATTTGTGCAAAGGCAACAGAATATTGGGAAATGTAACGAAAAATAAATTCAAACGAAAACGAAATTATTTTCGCGTTTCCATAGCGAAGCTTTTCGAAAGTTACGAGTTAACTCCTAAAAAAAAGTCATTTTCAAGTAATTCCAGAAACCCCTCATCATTTTGGATAAAGCGTTCCACGGTCGGGTAAATTCTACAAATTTTCGTCTAACACGGTACAACGTAAATTTAACACAGTTTAAAAGTAACAAAACCAATGCAAAGGCACCATTAATCTTCTCGAAAGACTAGTTTCCATTTATTCCGCAGGTTTCGCAACTTAATCTCCTTCCACTTTCCATTTATTATTCTCAAATCTCTGTTCTCTATCTGTACGTGGAAACAGAGAATGCAATTTATTTGAAAAAATACGCGAATCACATTAACCGAGCGATCCGTGGATCGTTTTCTCCAGTTCGTGTACCGGTGTTATTCGCGATTTACAACGGTACTTTTGCGGAACCAATCTACCACATAAATCGACGGTTACGCGTACGCGGGACTCCCTATGCGCCAGCTCTATGCTGGAATTTCTTTTATCACATAATCTTTCAAGTCCTAAAGACGCTCGACGTTAATTGCTTCACTCGCCGCTAACGTAAACCGTTAAACTAATTTAATACGAAATTTCCCGCTAAAATGAAATTTCTCGAAACCGGTTCTTCTGCAAGCTCGCGGTATCATGGTCGCTGGATAACTCAATTTTCCAGCGTCTCGTACAACCTCGCCACGCGTAGACACTCAACAAGGAGCATTCTGCTCGAGAGGCTTTCGGCACAAACAACGAATAGACGCATCGAGGATTCCTCGAGCTTCCACGAACCAACAATGAATCGAGCGACTCGGTATCGCGGGAATCAAGCCAGAATCAGTCGATTTCCGCGCGCTGAATCGCGATGAGGACCGCCTCGCGGATCTCGACGAGATCCGCTCCGAAAAAGGGGGGAATACGATTTCCGTGGCGGGCGGTGGAATGACAATACGTCGAAAGATTGATCGCGGAAGGAACCGCCTCCAGAAGATCCACCGGAAGGAACCACCACCCTCCCCGGAAGATCGCGCGCGAGTATCGATGCGATTACGGTAATCAAGCGACTCAGACAGGATATTGCAATCCTCTTTGACGCCACTGCAAGCAGAATATCGTCCCCGTCGGCTAAATTCCAATTATATTTAAGAGGGTTCGTTCGCGAGAGCTTCTCGTCGAGCATCAGACATCACGAGCCATAATTTTCGAATTAGGATTAAGACACATTCGGGACACTCGAGCTGCCTACAACCATCGTCCAAACTTTGAATCTCTTGATACTCAGCAGTCCTTTGTCCGTCGATCGTTATAGTCCGTGAAAGTTTGTTGCAGGAGGACACTTTGGATTATTATAACTCCAAGGAAGGAAGTCGTTTAGAAATCTTTCTTGTTTCAAAGGTTGAATCGTATGCTTTCGCAGTCCTGGGTCGCATTTCCTTGGAGATTCTTTCTAAGAGTGGAGTTAAAAATGAAATATCTACTTTCTCCTTGATTGCACAGTACTCTCCTTTGAGAAAGGTCGAATCGTTTACGGAGTAGATCTAGAATCTACCAAGCGACAACTTCCATCGATCTCTAATTGTTCCGAATTTCCTTGTAAACCGCTTTAAATTATTTATCGAAATCAAGCACCTGTGATGCGTGCTTGAGAAAATAGACACTCTCAACAGGTTTAGATTTCCACGCGCTGAATGTAAACGAGTGTTTATGTCTGCGCGGGATAGAACGTGTGGCTGTTTAGAATCGATTTCGAATGAACTGCGTCCGAGTGGCTCCAAGAATTCGTGTGCAGCATGAAAATTCCAAGACGAGCAGTAATATCGTATTATAATAGGGGTTTAAAACTTTTTAAACCTGAATCCACTCCGTTTCGATCAACGATGGAGGAATTCCTCCTTTGGTCTAACTCGTGTCGTTCGTCTTCGTCGAGAGGAGGATTCCCATTGCTGTCAAGTTTCCTCCACGGCGGTTCGCCACGTTGGAATTTATCTGAATTATGACGGAAGTCCCTCCGCGCGGGGGACCACAGGGTGGCCGAAAGGTGCTTTCCAGGATGCTCCCGGGAGCAGGGTTACGGACGCAGGGTCGGAAACTGCGAACGGAATAGCAAAGAAGCGGTCTGATAAAGTCACCGGGGCTGGTAACAGGTGAAGAGTCGATCCTCCGGTAGCCACTTCACGGGCTTCCATGGCGTCTCTTTCGCGTCGCGGACTTCCAAGTGCGGTCACGTAGTACGGACGGAGCTCTCAATTTTTCAGTGTCCTGTTTCGAAGGAATTACGTCCGCGATCGTGTACCAGGTCTCCGAACGGCGATCGTGCGGCTAGCTTAACTGGTAAGAAGTGCTCGGTTCGAGGGACGAATCGTTTGCTATTAAACTGTCTCGCCAGGATTTCGTGGTGGAGACCACTCCTTTTAAAGCCACCGTTCGCGTACCAACCCCCGCTGCCGATGATTTACGGCGTCGTTCTCAAACATTTTTCGAACTAACGTCCCCCTTCTATCAGACTGCAACGCCTAAGTTGACTCGAACGAAGGTGACTGCGATGTCGAACAATTCGAAACTTTATTCCGTATATTTTTTTAAATAAATTCTTGAAGAGATTCCGATGAAGTACGACTGTTATTCGATTACGTAACATTTACGCCACGAGGGCTAGAGTTTTCTTCTTGTTCCAAGTATCGCTAACTATTCGCCTGTTTTACCGTTTAAACGATTCTCAGTTTTCGAACCAATGCTTGTGTAAGCATTCTTTTTTATTGTGAATTTTACCATGCGCTCGAGAAGTTTGTTCGTTGAAAGTTCGAACGCCTAGAGGAACCCGAAGGGAACTCGGTGGAAACAAAGTCGGCTTGCGAAGCTAAGAATCAACGATAAAACCCGAAGATATTCCACATTCCTACGCTCGACTATGACTTTCAATCAGGATGCAAACGCTTCCTGAGCTCAAATAAACGTATGTTATTTTAATTTGTTTCCTTCGTTCGATAGTTCTCAAATAATCGAAACTGAGAAAAGGAAAGCCTAATTTATTACGCAAAATTGGCTGCTGAAGCGAACGGTGTTATAAGCAAGCATCAAATTGGCTTGATTACTAAGTTTCTGATTGGCATTTTCGAATTGCGGTGGTTACTATCACGGAATTTCAGATTCAATGGAGCCCTTAGGGCTTACTTGAATATTAGTTTGTTGGTTAAATGGTCCGTGGGCAACGAGGTGGATTGTTATTAGAGCAACACGTAGGTAGAACGCGGACAGGGACAGAAAATTAACTTACGCGGTGGTTAATTAGCCAGACTATGAAATTGAATTTATCAGGGACGAAACGATGCGCGTTAACTGCTTGCTGGCAGTCTTGTGAAAAGTCGACGGTGAAAAAATATTACACGGATCGTTAATTAGCCGCGAAGGTAATTAAAATTTGGTTACTTTTGACAGGTCTGTCAAAGATAAACCTTCGGTACGTTCGATTAATATTCGCGTTGGAATATTTTTCCCTTGACGTCGACTAACGAAAAAAATCTATGTGAAAATAGCTTGGCAAGCCGATAAATTTAATTACTCTTTCGAATATACTTGCCTCTCGTAAACGCGTTGGTATAGCACATAAATGTCACAATTTCACGATTAACGAGATATATCTGCTTCATATATCATAAAAGACGAAATTATTTTACGTTCGTCGATGGAGAATATCCAAATTCAATATCAATAAATTGGCAACATTTTCACTCGGTTGTCTATAAATAAATTCCTCATTCAATTTATATTTTCACGTTTAAAACTGTATTCACTTTAATCTTTGACCGTTTCAAGCTAATCCTTCTATCCACGACAAATTATTAACCGTGCTCCCCTGAAAATCCATTAAAGTTTATATTCGTTAATTAAAATAAATAGATAAGCAAGTGTCGAGTCGATGTTTTTTAAACTGTTGCTTTAAGCTCCTAGTTTTATCCTATTAACTCTAAATGTTCCTTCCGGGTATATTGTAAATTACTTTAGAACGAGTTTTCTTTCGAATTATTTTACGCTACGTTGACGTAACTTCCTTTTCGGAAATTCATAGGAAATTGTAACACGAAGCTATAAAAATTGCTCTCAAATGACGCGCAGAATATTATTAATCATTAGTTCCTGAATTTGTGATATGTGATTTGACTAATCACGGAATAACATTTTCCAGTAATTTCCATCACCGAATCTGAATTTCACCCAGAAGCAATCTCGCCGGTTCACCTGTTTGCTCGCAGCAAATATTGTACAAATATTGGCAAATCTAATAAATAGAATAGTTATTATTAATAAGAGAGAGAGATAAAAAATAAAAGCGATTCTGGAATGACTATAACAAAGGAGTGTGTCATAACAGAAGTGAAACGTAACTAGTTTCCTGACAAAAACACACTATTTAATTCGCGTTATTTAAATTCTTATTCTTTACTTATTTATTCTATTTAAAATATAAAATATGTACAGAGGAAATGTATCGAGCAAGTTGAAGAGGCGAGATTCAGGAAGGTTTTAAACTTAATCCACGACTAATGGATAAAAAGTGATTTGCTTTTTATCCGGAATTTGAATTTAGACAAGAATATCCCCGTTTCCTAATATCATCGTTTTCTATTTAAATTGCGAGCGATTCGACGATCGTACTCACCGATTCTAATGACCGGCGGCAGCGACATGGCAGTGGTGACCAAGATGACTATGATGGCGAACAACAGTGCCATTGTGTCCGACGTGACTTGTGCTTGCACCTGACTATGACATCTTTCTTGCGCACTTCGTCGCGAGGCAAACTACGATGCTCGTCAACAACGGATACATAAATACACGGAACTAGATCGTTCACGGACACTTTAACACTGAACACATCTTCGTAAGCTCGTGACGCGTCGTTACGAGAATCCTCAGAGAACCGACACTGACTGCATCTAAAAAAAAACAAAACAAGAATATTAATAAACTTCAAGCAACATCCACGACGAGAAAGAAAAGTAGCAAACAAATAAATACTGAATTTTCATCATCGATATTGTGATTTCACAGCGCCAATTTCCTTATTGTTGCAACGCGAAATGCCTCGGAACGAGGGCAGCGCGTCGAGTTTCGTGAAAAGCAAATACCCAGACCCAGACGTCCAACATTCCCATTAAACGTCGATCGTTGAAAAAATGTCGGACGGTTTCTTTTGGGTCGTTAGCTGATACGTTCGCGTCAATGGCGAACATGTTCGTCCGTGCACATACCGGGTCCGCCATTATGCAACATAGCAGTGCACAAAGTCTAGCCCGCGGGCCTATCCGGTCCATTCATCCAGTCAGCGAAATAGAATTCAAAAGAATGTAAAATGTATGTAAGAAAAATGTGGCGGTTGGCAATTTATAAATTGTATCTTACACTTCTGGGTCATGAATTTTAGTTTCGGACATTTTTGTAATAAACTACCGGAACCTATCATCGCGGTGATATTATATTAGACGAAAATATTTTACTCTTGCTCTAACCGCCATGGAATATTATTTTCGTTCGGTTTGTCGAGTATATAGATGTTGAACGTGGATATCATTGCCTATCGGTTATAATTTCGCGGAAATCGCGAACGGATTTCACGTCCATCTTCCGCGCGTGCGTAAAGTTGCCTATGATACCTAATGGACGCCATCAGTTTAATGGAAACCCACCAGTTATGTGTGGCTCGTGTACATAAATGTCGAGACAGTCTTCCATCCAATTTCTCTGCATGGAAAGCGATCGTCGGGAACGCTCTGAGATGAAACACGAACCGATTCGGGATGGGAATGTATTAGGGGTGTCTCGGACAATATTGTGTATCAGGGAACTTTAATTTATTAAGTAGATAAGCACTCGCGAATCTCCATTATTTTCTGTTTGCTTTTTTATCGAGATAAAGTGCTCTGTTAATAAACGAGAAAAACAGATCGAATGCAATAAAATTCATTTACTTTACATCTCGATAGCTCGTTTAATCGTATCGAACATACGCTTCGACAGAACATAATGGGTCGCAACGAGAAAGATAAAAAAAAGGGAAGAGAATACACGAAATTAAAATATTCGATTGGATTCTCCGGAAGGCAACTGCGCGAAGCGCACCAGTTGGAACAGATTTTTTGTTCCAGGGACGTAGCTTCCATAAAACGCTCTCGGAAGGGTCAGCGTGTAAAATAACGAGCTCGCCGTGCTTCGTAGGTGAATTAATTCGTTTAAACGTCCCGCCGTGGTCGCAGCCTGCGTTTAGAATCCGGCCTCGATGTAGAAGTCTCTGTAGGGCTCCGGTTCCATTAACACGCGGACAAGTGATACGATAACGCGTTTACGCGTTCAATTTGGTCGCGCGAGGATATTGCTATTGTGAAAAATGGCCAGGTGACGAAACGGGAACCCGATGCTTCGACGAACGCCGTGATTGCGTTCGAAGTAGCCGCTTACATCACGATACGATAGTCCATTGACTCTTTGCAATTAGAAAATACGAAAACGCGTTGGAATGTCGTTATTACGTTAATGGGAGGAGCGTAATTTATGGATTTAATTCCAAAAAGCTTTTGGTTTCTGTGTTCGTAACACAACGACCAAGTCTACTAGAGAAACGACAATTAATTACGTTAATAATGACAGTTGCTTGTTTACACAAGGCGATGTCGGGAGATAATTATGCGAGCACGAACGTGAATGTTGTTTCTGTGTGCTAACGACGGTGTAGTAAGAATGTGCGCAATCCTGAATTTCTTGTTTAAACATCCATTACGGTGTTGTTTCTGCAGATACGTCATTATACAAATGGCGAAGAAATTAGCAACGAACTCTTGGCTCGAAGGCGTCTTTAACACTCTACGTACCGTGTCTAATTCGTAACGCGAGATAATGCAATTTGATTAATTTAGTCTTTAACGGGGAAACTACGAAATGCCGTTAGCTAATTTGTTTTAGTCCTCTTCGGTGAATCTACAATGTTGCAAGCATAATAAGCACCGTGTATCGTTGCAATTAAAATTTATTTAAGGACAAGTCGAATAAAAATACGGTATTTCAGTAACACGTGTTACAGTATATGAATATTGCCGTAATATAACAGATATTGGATTCTAATTTTCTCATTACCGAGGAAAAAAACGGCCCACACTATTTGCGACTAAATGTAGCTAAAGAGGGTTTAATTCGTTACGATCTCTGTATATACGAGTATAATATAATATATTCCTAATGCATATATAAAAATGCTTTTAGAAACAGAGCTTTTCAGATTAATGAATAAAAAGATGAAAATAGTTTTAACAAGAAATTGTACACTCGATATTATTAATTTTCATCAGAACATACTTTAAGTTTCGGATAAAAATAACTCGTATAAAGCAACAATTTTGTTTCTATTTCACGGAGGCCAAATCTTTCCTATTTTCGGGGTGGTTCGCATAAATTTTTCATTCATTCTCCAGGGTGTGATTCCCGAGACTAAACAAGGGGAAAGAAAAACATATAACCCTTGTTCGCTCCCAAGTTTGTTTCCTCAAAGGCGCGAGAAAATCGCCTCTTTATTTTCAGAGAACCACCGACGTTCCGTGCCCTTATCGTTTCGGTCAAGTTGCCAGTGCCTGCCCCTGAGGGGCAGTTCTCCACAACCTCTGGGAGCTGTACGATGTCGATGGAGAATAACATGATTCAGAACTGGACGAACGTGTTGACCGTTTCAAGCATTCGAAAGCAAATACGTATTATCGGAAACGAACCTTCAATTTCGCGTGTATAAATTTCTCCACGAACTTGTTGCAATAATAATACGTATTTATTGCGCAGTGGAATACTCTGTTTGCGAACGAAAATATTATTTGATATTATTCGAGACGAGAAACAACGTCGAAAGAGAAGAGAAAGCGACGCAAATGTCATTTGTAATATTAAAGGGTGAGAATGAATTATTTTTTAAATTTGCCCCTATGGAACATAAAAAAGAAAGATTTTTAAAATAATGTACGTAGAGTAATAAATATAAGAAGAAATAGCAAGGGGAGAGCTGAAACTGGAAACGAGAGAGCGCAGTGACAGTGGATCGTGTATGGTCAGACGCGTTTTACATCGAACATAAAAGCGCCGTAATCCCTGTAACTTCTAACAAGCCACGAACACGCGGAAGCAATTCGAGCATTCGCTAACTGGTTGTAAAAGAACAAAAATGTAAATATACAGTCCGTGGCGTTCCACTTAAAAACAATCCGAAGACGCTAGAATGGGCATCGCATTTGTTACGCGAATGGCTGCAGCGAACTCCCAAATACGAAAAAAGAATTCGCTATTCTCGTGAAAACAGTTCGCGATACCTTGTATGACCCACTTTGTTCGATGCTGGAAGTAAGAAAGAAGTCGTAACTGTACAGGGTGTGCCACCAAACTTGCACCGTTTAAATATAATTCTCCTTTATAGAATTTTCGGCCACCAGAATCGATTGAAACACAATCGCGAACAAAATATTATCGGTAGCGTCCATTGTCATCGTAACGAGCTGATTATTATTCTTGTATATTTCCCAAATTAATTTAATTTAAATTGAAAATTAATGCGCCTACAATATCGGTCGGAAACTTCAATGGAAATGAAGGATTTGTTATAATAAATTATTTGCGAGAACATATTCGCGATCTTCGGATCGAAAGGTTAGATGCATGTCTCGAAACTGTTAGATACGTTCGATCATAGTTGATCGATAGGAACGTGCAGGCATAAAAGGGGTTCTCAAGCCTGATGTCGCTGCCACATGCGACTCACGCTTCCGCTATTAGAGTTAACGTAAACGGATCTAAGCTAACCCAATTTAACGAGGGGTAACTTCGCCCCCAGCCGTGTTTGTTTGCCGTTTCTCTTCGGGCAGGCTTTAAGCGCCCAGCTTGATTACATAGGCGTGTCCGTGCTGTCCGAATCGCCCTCCTTTTTCTTCCGCCCACCTTTCCGAAACCAACCCATTGAACGTTTCCTTTCAACGACTCGTGTTCCCCAATTTCCCACCAATTTTCATCTAACCACCGCGAAACCAATTTCGAAAACAACTCCATTCGCAAGAAACAACCCTTATTTAAGTAAATGAAATCGAACGTTCCAAAGTATCAGACTGTGACATCCCCTTAAACGAATCTTTTCGGTGCTCGTTACCAAAATAATAAAAGTTCGAAACAACAAAGCTCGTAGTTCTCTCCGAAATTAATCAGCCCCCGTTTATTTCGGTCGAACGATTTTTCATGGCGCGTTTCGGCCGACCACAGCTTTCAGCGATCGTCGAACTCAGAATTCGGAAGAACACGCACCGCTCATGGGCGACGTGATTCAAGGAATTGATTGCTCGTTGCCTTTTCGCCATTTCGTCGGAATCTGGTCCGTTTCCGTTTTCTTACGGCTTTCAGCTGTCGTCGTAATATTCGTCGCGACCGTTATCGGCGAGCATCGTCGAACCGTAATTCGTAAAATTTTCCCTATCTCGAGCATTATTACAGCGAATCGTACGAAACGTGGGTAAACAGGGTAAACGGAGATTGAATTCCTTCGAACCCGCGGGAATATGGGTCGCCATTCGAGCCGTTCCATCTCGCCCGGAATACTTTTCCGCGCGATTTGGAATACACGGAATCTCGACGAAACGGAAACGCGTTCGCGCACGGTTACATAACGCTGGCATTGGTCCCACTGAAACGGCAAGGTTTTCGCGAACGGCTGAATGGAACGCGTACAATCGTTCCTGTTCCTTAATTTGTTGCTGGTTCCTAATTAACGCTTAACTGACGCATTCGAGGCCGTAATTGAGGCTACGTTTCGACAGAATTTTCGCCTGCGTTTCGCCTCTTAGACCCTCACGTGCTCCGAGGTACACTTCATTTTCATACTCGCGGTCCTCTTTTTACAACGCTGGATACGCTCCAAAGAACA